GAACTAGCAAGAAACTCAGTGGGTATTTTTTAAAACATAATATTTCACTTTACAATAAGTTAAGTACGATAAGTTTTTGTTTGTAGAAATTTTCAATAGAACCAGCATAGTGGTGATCACTTCATTCCCTGTGGGTTTTCCGTTTATGTCTTCTTTGATATTATAATAATCCTTTTTGTACATTTTTTTAATAAAACATTTAAACTTGTTTATTGACAAATTTTCTGCATTTTCTGGGATTTTGTTGTAAAAGCGTATACACCGCCACATATATGAATTACGAGTACTAATTCTATGGAGTCTAGTGACTGGTATCACAAGCTTATATTTGTTGTTCAGGCTAAGAAGCATCCATCTCAATCCTCAGATTTAACAACGCATCGCCTTCTTTATTTTAAGTTAGTCGCAAGTGTACGTAAGCTGCATTCGCAACTTGTCATCAGGTGGACTGTAAGTCCGTTCGTTACTTAAATTTTATAAATGAGGAAGTTTGAATATTTACGTAAAACTTCTTAACACACGCTTGACTTGGGGAGTAAACTGATGAACGCGTGACGAAAGCGTTATGAAAAGTGTGCACGGGCGAGGCGAACGGGAGTTGAGAGGGGGATATAAACAAGACAGAGCAGTGCGCTCCCACATTTTCTTTCTCTCTTTCTTTCATGGCCAGTTATTTTGTATTTTACAAATTTTTTACAAAAAATTATCGAAGGCATCTGAAGTTCGCCAACACGCATTGGGGCAGCGCGACGGACACTCCCATACCCTAAAACCTTCTCAGTAGTGAGAGAAATCCTGTGCCCAGCTGTGGGAAGTATATACGCAGTAAATAACTAATCTACTGTTTCTTTGCAGATTTTTCTGGCCAGTGCTGAAGAAATCCATCGCACTGGAATATGAATGTACGCAGAAAGAGAAGTGTCAACAATTGCTTCGAGTAGCAAGGCACCTGTTTGCTCAGGTGAGATCGCCATGTTTCATAAAAACTCATAATAAATATATATTCAAATATAAATTCAGATTCCTTTATGTGCCTTAAATATAGCGTAAGCAATCGCATATTTGTCCATAGGTATAACATTCTTTAGGTAATCTAATATCTTGTAGTCCAGACCGAACTCCCATAGAGTTACACGGCCCACTGGCGGACCGGAAGGGAAAAGCTATAGCGTTTTTCCCAGATACAGAACTATCTGTTATTTTTGCGGGGAGAAATCTACGCAAAAAAAAGCAATCGTCTATCATTACGAAACTCATATGTAAGAACTAAGATAATACAATTTTCACAGACTAAATTATATTAAAATAGTATGGCTCGGTGACGGCGACAACTCGGACACAGACCCATCTGCATATTATACTGGGTAACTATTTTTACCGTCTGGAAAATAATAGGGTGTTTTGCGTAAGTGGAATAGAAGCTATCCTCGAAAGTATTTGTAAAATGTAACAAAATATAACTAGATAGCTAAAATTTCCGAATATCCAAAAAAACACGTAAAAACAATTCATTCTACGGCGTTTGCGTAAAGATAAAAATAGGCTAAGATCGCTAGTGAATGAAAGTTGTAAGAGCGAGTGAGACGCATGTGCACATCTTTCATTAAGTAGGCACCAGGCGCAGGTGGTCGAGTGGGAAAAATAATTTTTGGTAACGTAAGGCACGTGCCTTACGTTACCAAAAATTATTTTTCTCTTATAAGTATTGATTTTTAATTTTGACTGCCTCGTTGGTCTAGTGGTTGTTGTAGTGTGACAGCTGATCATGAAAGAATTTATTGAGTTTTTCTGTCAAAAAAGGGCAAGCGGCCTTATTATTGTAATTTTTTAATTTAAAAAGAAGTAAATAATAATAATGTGTTGAAAAATTATATAAAAAGCAAGGTAACTCTTTTCGTAAATTGACGTGACAAAAAAACCGGAACAATTCGGCATTTTTGTGGGACTTTCGATTCAGCCGCGCATCTAGACTTAGTCTAGCAAGCAGTGCTGCTGCAACTTGTTTTATAGGAAATGAAAAAAGTGAAAAACTATTATAATGCACGAGTGTATGCAAGCACAGGTGTACTAACTCGATTCACTCACTCTCATAGTCCCATGGAACGTCAATTCAATACGATCAGTTAGAGAATAAGCGCAGGATCAATAGCTTCATATGTGCTTTTCGAGGCACGCGGGTGAAACACCGACAGCTTCCTAACTCCAGGCTGCTACCAAAAAAATTTCAAAAGAAAACCCATTCACCACTCAGCAATCTCATTTATTAATGGAACTAGGCAGTCAAATGTTATATACCTAACATCATGATGTACAATCCACCAATCCATCAATTTCGTCTCATGGGTGTCGTAAGTATGTTTGCCAGATCGGAAGACCGTAATATCTGGACGGACTGGAAAATTCAGGATTATGGGGTTGTTATCGGGAGAAATAAATATTAAAAGTAAAAAGTATATTTTTAATTAAGAGAATATAAAAAGTACTTTAAACAAAACTAACATAAGTACACTTAATTTTTACGTAGCCACATGTATTTGGCATTGGACTTTAGAGTCCACCACTTTGGATCCTTTAGTACTTAGTATTCAGAAAATATTTAAAATTCAAACAATTTACTTCAAAGTTCCGTCTAATTACTAACTCATGTTGTATTAAATCAATGGCCATACGTTTAGTTTTCGAAGAGCTGTTTGTCTGGAGATTTTGAGTTTTGTCGGGAGTCTGGAGATCATTTGAAATGTCGGGAGAATACAGACGAATCCCGACCATCTGGCAACCCTATTCGTAAGACGCGAGTATGGGGAATACCAGAATAATGTTATGGCTCCGATAGATGGCAGTTTATCTATCTTGTTTACGTACGACCTAAAATACCGAAACTGACGACGGGCTGCAGCGTCAAAGGTGCGAAATATCTGATGCTGCGATTGTATACTAGCCTGCCAATTGAGACGAGGCAATTCCTTCATACCACAGGTAAGGGTCAAGTCCTTCAATGGACTTAATGGGTTGATTTTTTTTAACGCGCACACAGTCTACCTGATGGTAAAAGGATGCTGTAGCTCATAGACATCTACATTTATCCTCGATTAAGAATCGAAACGCACATGTGTTGTCTCCCCTAAGAACTAAGATGGAATGTCTCGTTTCCTGTAAAAAAGAGTCTCCGGATCTCTACACTCACCATACGAAAGACAGCAGTATTAAGCTGCTATTTTACGCTGGTATTCTGTGAGAGCGTGGTCCTTCGTAATATAGCTGCAGCGTGACTTTACTACGTATAAAAACACAGTACCTAATCCAGGATTTTATCATCACATATACCGTTACCGTTACAAAGTTAAAGTCCACTGTTGAACATAGGCCATCCCCATATTTTAATTCATAGGTTGACTACCACAGTTGTTTAATTTTATTATTATTAGGAAAGTACTGCTGCCCATATCCTGATTTGTTTCCCTCTATCGCCTCTTACGACTTACTTACCTATGGATATTCTTACACCGCCACCAAACGGTAATCTTTATCACTTACACCATCAGGTGGATTCCTTGGAGGATCTCTTAAATATCACGATGGAACAAGCGAAGCTGCTGATGAAGGCGGAATACTGCACCGTGATGCTGGTGGACGTCGATCACATGGATCTGGTCGAGAATTATTATTATAAAAGGGAAGGATTGGTATGAAATTAATTAATTTAGCATTCCTAGTTCTTATAAGGTGCTAGGACTCCATTTCTGGTTCGGAATAATTCTGACCAGATACTAACAAGCAAGGTGGTTTTGTGATGCGTAACTGGTTAAGTAACAAGTCAGTGGTTCTAGTGATATGCCAAAAGTTACTTTAAACGACATGGTCATAAGGTTTAATGTCGAATCTTGGCCTGAACGATCGCTTGGGATTTTGTGCTTTCCTGCAAGTGATATGCTCAGCTTCGATCTTTCGTTATAGCTCAGAATAAATAATAGTAAAGCGTATCGTATTATAATGTTTGTATATGATATTCTTGGTTTTAATGGCTAATCTATAACACGTTAAAATGGAATCAGGAAATAACAGATAGTCTATTTAGTTTATTTAAAGATTGGATTTCGCCGTTGCAAGCTATGAGCTACGTTCGTATTCCACGCTGGTATTTTTATGGAAAAGACTCTGTCGGTGTGAATGAGAGGAGCGGTCGCATTGTAAACGAAAATGGGAGTCTTAGCAGTCGCATATTTTTGTGATGCATCTCCTTACTTAGTTCTGCCTCAACAGTTTCTGATATAATTACAGCATCTGATGCGTTATAACTTATAATTTATTCTTCAGTGGTGACAACATACCTGTAATCTTCTTTGTTTGAAATTGATTAAAGGCGTCTACGCATCGCACTTACCATCAAATTGAATATGAGATCGTCAGTTGCTACAATTTTATGTAAAATGTCTGCTGTCTATTGCTTGGCTTTAATACCCAATGTACTCAAATAAAAGGTTTTCAAGAAGTAGTGTTATCAGTAAACAATCCAATAAGACATGCAGATATTAGATCAGAATTACGTCTTGTGATGGAACTTGGGCAAGGCCTATGTTCTACAGTGGACTTGTGAAGAACAGTAATAATGATGATGACAATAAAAACAAATGGCTACCTAGCCTGGTGGTGTTTTTTATGGAATAAGGGTGACAAACGAGCACACAGTCTACCTGATGGTAAGTGGATGCTGTGGCCCATAGACATCAAAACACAGATGCGTTGTCACCCCTGAGGACTAAGATGGAATGCCTCGTTTCCATTAAAAAGGGGTTCCCGGATTTCTACATATATTATACGGAACACAGTAGTATTAAGCTGCTATTTTACGCTAGTATTCTGTGAGAGCATGGACCTTCCCCGGTATTATAATGGTAGCACGAATGGGTCAAGCCGATCCATGATTAACGCTACGTAAAGTGTAGTAAATAAAATCTTTTGCCCACAAGGCTAAAAACGGGGTTGTGAAAAGGCGATTCAAAATGAACGTCGGTATAGTCGGCCACGTTGTGAGCACCGGCAAGCTGGTGAACGCGAAAAATGCCCGGGAACATCCCGAATTCGATTCCCACATAGACTCTTACCCAGGAATTGAGTGCAAGTTAGTATAGTAGTGTTTAATTTTATCTATATTTTTGACATTAGTTGGTCAGTCACCTCTATAGTTTGTTACTGTTATTGAAGTAACTGTTCATTATATTGAAATAACTGGAGTTTGTTAAGCTCTTCTTTCCATGCTATTAAAACCAAATTAAAACTTTAGGTGTAGGGCGACCCCCACTACATGGAGTGACGACCGTACTTTGTGGCGTCCCTTGAGGGAGGCCTACGTTTAGCAGTGGACTTGTGAAGGGATGTAATGATGGTGATGACGATGAAACTTTACGAACAGATAGATGATCTATGAGTTTAGGCTATATTTAATCTAAAAACTTTGATTATTACCATTTATTATTTTATATCATCGATTAAAACTACTTTTAATTATTTTATCACATTTACGCATGACCCCGTGACCATGGGAGCTGGAAAACACCGGAAACGTCGGGAATTTAAAAGCATGTAAATTGAACGTGATAAAATCCGTAAATATAGTTTTATTCAATAAAATACTTTTTTTGTAAAACAATTTTTTTCAAAAAAACATCGTTTTCTTAAAAAAACAAAATAATTTATGTAAAATAATGTAGTATGTAGATCTTAGATATTAAAGACCATTTATTCAGTTTTTTTTTTTAAATAAATGGTCTTTGTTATCCTAAATCTACATAACGCCGCATTAATTTACCCTATGTAGGCAAAGCCGCGGCGGGTATCAAGATTTTAATATTTTAAATTAGGTAGTTTAACTTTTAAAGTAGTCTTACATATTTTTCTAATAACACTGAAGTGATAAATAAAGTTAATGGTAAGTGACTACTGCAAGCTATTGACACCTGCAGCTAACTTCAAGCAAAAAAGGCTTCAGTTGCGCTGTCACCTCTGAGCATGAAGGTTAGAGAACAGGAGAACGATCGCCGTAGAAAATAGTGTTTCACTAATATGGGCACCATAAGTGAGGCGCTGCAATCGCTACGTTCAGTCAATAAAAGTCATTTTCAGTCATTTTTCCGTTCAGATGCTAAACCACTTGCACATCCACGCACAGTAAAATATTTCTCCATTTTTTAATGTTTCTTTTTCTCAAAAATTACAAAATTACGGAGCTTGAAAATTTTCTCACCAATATCGTGGAGAAAATTATTCAACTAACTTCATCTTTTTGTACTCATATACAGCTAACTTCGCAGTCACTACTTACCGACGTCAGCGCCGCTATAAATTCTACAATTTTCAAAAACAGGCGGGCTATGCTTTAGTACGTAGTGATCATTCTCCTGTTCTCTAAACTTCATGCCTCAGAGAACTAAGACGGAATACCTCGCGGCCCATAACCATACTGGCTCTATACGATCCCGACCGGAACCTGTGCAAACACTGCTATTTGGCGGCAGCAATAATTTAGTTGTCTTGTATTTTGTACACACATTAATTTTGATAATGAACATAATGTCGTTTGTTTATACTGGATGACCTTTTTTACCGTCTGGAAAAAAAATAGGGTGTAACATGTGAACGGAGTAGAAGCCTTTGGCACTGATATTTTACAAGCAATAAAAACTAAAATTTTGAATTAAATAAATAAATTTAATTAAAATCTATCGAAATTCAAATCATATCCACCCTACTTTAAGAACGGCAATAAAACAATCTTTGACCTTGTCACTTCGTAGGATCACAGGCTCAAGGGCAAAGGGCAAAGTAATTGTTCAAAAAATTTTTCAAACGGCTAATTCAACATTTTTGTTTTTATTTTTTGTAAAATACGTACATAAATATGAAAAATAATAAATATATATAAACAAAACATATATAAAAATATGTGTAACATGTGCTGCCCATCTCCTGATTTGTTTGTGGATATCTTACACCGCCACCACTGTTTCGAGTACTTTACAGCATCTATGGTCATGGGAGGAGGATGGGAGGCTAGGAATATAAAATAAGTTAATTTATGCCATGATAATCCGTAAAAATTATTTTAATATAAATGTGTAGTGTTCGCGTAAACTTAAGAAATTATTTGCTTTAATAAATTTCAGGTCACTTCTCTGTTTCCCAATTCGCGACCAGTCCGGTATCATTGGTGTTGTTTGCCTCACCAACAAAGTGAACGACCCTTACTTCGACGCCATGGACGAGGAAATGGCGCTGGCATTCAGTGTCTACTGCGGAGTGTGCATTGTCCATTCAGTAGTGTACCAGAAGATGCAGGAGGCGCACATCAGAAACTCTTTAGCAAATGAACTTGTGATGTATCATATGAAGGTTTGTAGCGTTGTCTCCCAAAAATTAGCGCCATCTAGTTTTCATTCTATTTTAATTTAGTACTTTTACCATACCTTTGCAGCGTATTGAAAGTCCACTGCTGGACATATATTATATTAATATACTTAGCTATAGATGTAGCACGAATGATTGAACGGGGAAGGACCCCGCTGTCACAAAATATAAATTGCGGCACTTAACTTTAGCGCTGAACGAAACGTGGAAGGGATAGTTGCGAATGTCGTATCAGTACGGTGGACGGAATGGTACTGGAGAGCCAATAAGCGCGTGTGAAAGATTCGCGCAGCCAATTATACGTAATAATGCGCAATACAGCCAATTATGCGCAATAACGGTCACCGCTAGACTTTCGTCCCGCTAGTTTTACCAGCGAAACATAGTAGATTAACGCTGCTGTGTTTGAGACTCTTTTTACTGGAAATGAGGCATTCCATTTTAGTTCTCACTGGTGACTACGCATCTTTATTTTGATTCCTAATCGAGGATAGATGTACATGTCTATGAGCCACAGCAATCACTTATCATCAAGTCGACTGTGTGCTTACTTTTCACCCTTATCCTATAAAAAAACCTGGGCTCTTTTTTAAAGAATAAGAGTGGCAATCAAGTACAGTCCACCTGATGGTAAATGGATACTGTGACCCATAGACATCAACATTTATCCTCGATTAAGTATCAAAACGCAGAAGAGTTGTCACCCCTAAGGACTAAGTTGAAATGCCTCGTTTCCAGTGAAAAAGGGTCTCCGGATCTCTACACTCACCATACGAAACACAGCAGCATTAAGTTGCTATTTTACGCTGGTATTCTGTGAGAGCGTGGTCCTTACCCGGTCGAGCCAAACCCATTCGTGATACAACCACAATATAGCTCCAGTGTGGCTCTACCTCATAATCCTATAGCCTATTGCCTCATAATTCCTCCTTTTTTATATGATAAGGTGACAAACGAGCACACAGTCCACCTGATGGTAAGTGGTTGCTGTGGCCCATAGACATCTACATCTATCCTCGATTATGAATCAAAATGTAGATGCGTTGTCACCCGTGAGGACTAAGATGGAATGCCTCGTTTCCAGTAAAAAGGTCTCCGGTTCTCTACACTCACCATACGAAATACAGCAGCATTAAACTACTATTTTACGCTGAAATTCTGTGAGAGCGTGATCCTTCCTCGGTCGAGCCGACCCATTCGTGCTACAACTATACCTCTAATATAACTGCAGCATGGCTCTACCACGTAAAAAATCTCCTATATGTTAGTTGCCACGCTTGGCAGGCGGATTGTCAACCACAGTTTCTTAATTGTTATTAGGAAGACGCTGCTTGTTTCAGGTTTGTTTCTCTTACGTCACACACGGGGTAGTGCATATTCTTGCACCTACTACACGGTTGCGATCTAGTTTAGGCTTCATATACATGCAGAATAACAACATTTAATAGCAGCATAATGCTGTGTTACCTATGGCAAGTGATGAAAACAGGAGATGCATTTGGGTGGTAACGAGGCAATTCCTTCTTAGCCTTGATAACGCATCTGTTTTATCTAATTTTTTTTACGTGGTAGAGCCACGCTACATCTGTATTATAGTTTACGTGGCAGAGCCACGTTACAGTTAACTTATAGTTTTACGTGATAGAGCCACGCTACAGCTATATTATAGTTTACGTGGCAGAATCACGCTACAGCTATATCATAGTTTACATGGCAAAGCCACGCTACAACTATATTATAGTTTAAGTGGCAGTGCCACGCTACAGCTATATTATAGTTTACGTGGCAGAGCCACGCTACAGCTATATTATAGTTTACGTGGCAGAGCCACGCTACAGCTATATTATAGTTTACGTGGCAGAGCCACGCTACAGCTATATTATAGTTTACGTGGCAGTGCCGCGCTACAGCTATATTATAGTTTACGTGGCAGAGCCACGCTACAGCTATATTATAGTTAACGTGGCAGAGCCATGCTACAGCTATTTTATAGTTTACGTGGCAGAGCCACGCTACAGCTATATTATAGTTAACGTGGCATAGCCACGCTACAGCTATATTATAGTTTACGTGGCAGAGCCACGCTACAGCTATATTATAGTTTACGTGGCAGTGCCACGCTACAGCTATATTATAGTTTACGTGGCAGAGCCACGCTACAGCTATTTTATAGTTTACGTGGCAGAGCCACGCCACAGCTATATCATAGTCTACGTGGCAGAGCCACGCTACAGATATATTATAGTTTACATGGCAGTGCCACGCTACAGCTATATTATAGTTTACGTGGCAGAGCCACGCTGCAGCTATATTGTAGTTTACGTGGCAGAGCCACGCTACAGCTATATTATAGTTTACTTGGCAGAGCCACACTACATCTATGCTATAGTTTACGTGGCAATGCCATGCTACAGCTATATTATAGTTTACATGGCAGTGCCACGCTACAGCTATATTATAGTTTACGTGGCAGAGCCACGCCACAGCTATATTATAGTTTACGCGGCAGAGCCACGCTACAGCTATATTATATTTTACGTGGCAGTGCCACGCTACAGCTATATTATAGTTTACTTGGCAGAGCCCCACTACAGCTATACTATAGTTTACGTGGCAGAGCCACGCTACAGCTATATTATAGTTTACTTGGCAGAGCCACACTACATCTATGCTATAGTTTACGTGGCAGAGCCACGCTATACCTATATTATAGTTTACGTGGCAGAGCCACGCTACAGCTATATTATAGTTTACGTGGCAGAGCCACGCTACAGCTATATTATAGTTTACGTGGCAGAGCCATGCAACAGCTATATTATAGTTTACGTGGCAGAGCCACGTTACAGCTATATTATAGTTTACGTGGCAGAGTCACGTTATAGCTATATTGTAGTTTACGTGGCAGAGCCACGCTACAGCTATATTATAGTTAACGCGGCAGAGCCACGCTACAGCTATATTATATTTTACGTGGCAGTGCCACGCTACAGCTATATTATAGTTTACTTGGCAGAGCCACACTACAGCTATACTATAGTTTACGTGGCAGAGCCACGCTACAGCTATATTATAGTTTACGTGGCAGTGCTACGCTACAGCTATATTATAGTTTACGTGGCAGAGCCACGCCACAGCTATATTATACTTTACGCGGCAGAGCCACGCTACAGCTATATTATATTTTACGTGACAGTGCCACTCTACAGCTATATTATAGTTTACGTGGCAGAGCCACGCTACAGCTATATTACAGTTTACGTGGCAGTACCACGCTACAGCTATATTATAGTTTACGTGGCAGAGCCACGCTGCAGCTATATTATAGTTTACGTGGCAGAGCCACGCTACAGCTATATTACAGTTTACGTGGCAGTACCACGCTACAGCTATATTATAGTTTAAATGGCAGAGCCACGCTACAGCTATATTATAGTTTACGTGGCAGAGCCACGCTACAGCTATATTATAGTTTACGTGGCAGAGCCACGCCACATCTATATTATAGTTTACGTGGCAGAGCAACGCCACAGCTGTATTATAGTTTACGTGGCAGTGCCACGCTACATCTATATTATAGTTTACGTGGCAGAGCCACGCTACAGCTATATTATAGTTTACGTGACAGTGCCACGCTACAGCTATATTATAGTTTACGTGGCAGAGCCACGCTACAGCTATATTATAGTTTACGTAGCAGAGCCACGCTACAGCTATATTATAGTTTACGTGGCAGAGCCACGCTACAGCTATAATATAGTTTACGTGGCAGAGCCACGCTACAGCTATATTATAGTTTACGTGGCAGAGCCACGCTACAGCTATATTATAGTTTACGTGGCAGAGCCACGCTATAGCTATATTATAGTTTACGTGATAGAGCCACGCTACAAGTACTATGATATTCTGCGCTAGTGTCCAATATTTAAAATCCTTATGAGTTGACTTCTGTTTTAAAATTATTTTATTCGTAAGTATAATTTTGTTGTTTTTATGTTTGTCTAATCGCTTTATGTCGTTACTCATGGGTACTCCCTACTATAGTTGCCAAGATTTGGTAGCTTTTATTTTCTAGTTCCTATTAAGATGTGCTCCCCTTCACCTAATTTGTTTCCCATTGTCGCCACTAACGATACATTTGGGCTGATATGGGGTAGTGGATATTCTTACACTGCCTCTGTACGATGGTTTACGTTGACTCGACCTGGCAACATTTAAGGCAAGCATCCTGAGAACTGCTGAAAGGATTCTGGAGCTGAACGACAAGTTGCGCTGGTATATAGTAGGATTATCTGAGGTCCAAAGAGAGGCGGAGGACACGATGATGCTCGAATGTAGCAACTTTTTCTATCACTCACCATCTGCCCCAAGGATGTATCGTTAAAAGTTGTATATGGTGGTTTAACGTTGGTTTAACGATGTAAATACAAAATCCATTAATAAATCGACCACCGTTATAAATATATTGCTTGAATATGAGTAATTAACGTCCTTTGGACCGAATATCTGTCACTGCGGCTATTCTCGACAGAGACTAGCCATCGGCGCAGGACACGATTATAATGCAAGAGTGTAGCACAAGCACAGGTTCTCTCTCTATCACCTCACTCTCATAATCCGATGGGACGGTAATTCGACACGACCGGGGAGAGATCAGGCGCAGGACCAACATCTTTACATACTTTACGAAGCACAGGCGTGAGACACCGCCAATTTCCTGAATTCCTAAGAATTTCTTGACAGAAAAACTCAATTGCTGATTTTATTAGCCCGACCCGGGTTTCGAGCCTTATGATCAACAGTAACGTTTATGGCCACTAGACCAACGCGGCAGTTAAACAGGACTATATATTTATCGATGTAGGTGGATGATACGGAAGTGGACAATCTACTACAATGTACCGGCTTCCACAAGCACCCTCACATCGCGAACCTGCACTTCAACATCCGAGCTCTGCCGTTGCGCGAGCTGCCTTGCTACGTTGTCAAGATGTTCTCCGATCTCGGATACGATAAGAAGTAACTGCAGAAATTATAAATTAGATTGGACATGGAGTCCAGTAGCGGACTCTTTATGATTGCTCACCAGTAGGTGGATTTGGGATCGTAGTACTAGTATTAACATTTTTATCTCAAAAGACACTAGTTAATAATAAAGTAATAGATAATCCACTATATAATATTCAGCACGACGTTACACGCACATTTGCGTTTGAATTTTTATCGCCTTTATCACGGGGAGTTCTCTAAGAAATTCTTCGGATTAATTCTAGCCTCCAAATTTCATGAACGCACATCGCGAAAAAACTCACAATAGCATCCACACCATGGGATGCTTTTGTGAGTTTTTTCGCGATGCGTTTTAGTAGGAGTTTTCTTACTCATATTATGATCTCTTTGTGGAATCGTTTAACACCGGCGATTTTTCAGACACAATACGACTTTGGGACCTTCAAGAAATGAGCTTACTCCTTTCTAAAAAGCCGTCAACGAAAACCTGCGGTTCCCCTATTTCTCTCTCTCTCTCTCTCTCTCTCTCTCTCTCCCCCCAAAAAAAAAAAATATATATATATATATATATATATATAAAGAATATCACCAATGTAGTCTAAGATAATCTCAAATATCTCTTAAACTAATGGTCAGATCTTGATCAAATTTAATAAAAAAGAATCATCAGAATCGGTTCACCTAGAAAAAAGTTCTGAGCTAACACAAATAAAAAAATACAGTCTAATTGAGAACCTCCTTTTGGTATTGTTGATCGAAGGTGACAAATGACAGTCGTACGCGACGACGCTCGCAGCGTGGATTCCGCATTGCCCTAAAACATTGACCTTTCCCGTTTGTGGGAAGGGTGGATTAGCGATCACAATACCAGAATATCTTGCAACTTGGATGCTGCTACAATCGAATCTTTTCTAAAACGTGAAAGGCCTCTTACGAGAGATGGACTGTTGGTGATGCCTTTGATGAATTTGTTAACAATAGAGAACTTTGTGCAGAATTTGATATATTTGTCATAAAAAAATTTGGTTGTCACAGAAGATCTTAAACGAGTAAAAGCAACGCCGAGTGTTGCAGCTAGTTTTGTTTCTTAGATACAACATTAAAAGAGAGAAGCTGGCCAGATTCGTCCTACACGTAAAGAAGGGCTACCGGGACGTTCCATACCACAATTGGCTGCACGCATTTAGCGTGTTTCAGTGGGCTTACGCAGCCCTCATCAACTACAAGCTTGTGACACATGGATACCTTAAGTAAGTAAAAAAGAAATGTCGTAGCGGCCCAGGAGAATGCATCATCCATTACTTATATTTCGTCTCGTGTAGTGTACAGGTGGGTCCACGCTAGACGAGTCGAGCCGAGCCGAGCCGAGCACAAATTCGTGTAGTGTACTTACAACTCTCGAACGAGCGCGCTTCGAGCGTTTGGTTCGTACTCGACCTCCGCCTATTGTCAATTTTTTGTCGAACACAAAGGAAGATGCATCACTCACATCGATTTACATGTTGCAGGCAAAGATATAATAGTGTTGTAGGCTCGTTGTACGTTTACTTTTGACACCGCGAGTAGAGCGGCTCAGCTTATGCTTAGCTCGTGCTTGGCGTTAGTGTAGACCCACCTTATGAGGGGACGACGGAAAATTGTGAAATGCCAAAAAGATTTTATGGCTTCCGATAGATGGGGGAATAACAATCTTGTTTACGCCGAGCGTTAAGTACAAGGTCCGGCAAACGGGTAGCTGCGTCCAAGATGCGAGATGTCTGGCACTGCAGCTATCAATCCGCCAGTAAGTGTGACGATAGGCAAATGTTTCCTCAAACAGTACCCAATAGTGGTATTTTACTGGCTGATGAAGGAGATAAAGAAATTTTTTCATTAATATTAATAATAATCTTTATTTCTCTCTACAACTTTTTTTTAAATAGATTAAGGATGACAAACGAGCACACAGTCCACCTGATGGTAAATAGATGCTGTGGCTCATAGTTCGCTACATTTATCCTCGATTAAGAATCGAAACGCAGATGCGTTGTCACTCTTGATGACGCGGATTGGACCTACCTGTAGTCGGTCTGGTTATTTTACATCTGGCATATGTAGCTGGTTGCAGCGAGCTATGGAGAGGGCTCAACTCGGGGTTTCTCTGTGTGGTAAACTTAGAAATGAGGATATCCGCAGTAGAACCAACGTAACCGGCATATCCCAAAGTATTAGTAAGCTGAAGTGGCATTGGGCCGGTTATATATCTCGAAGAACCAACACTAGATAGAGTGACGACCTGGTAAGAGATGCAAGAAGTCGATGGATGAAGGTGGCTCCGGATCGTGCTTACGGGCATTCTTTGGGGGAGACTACCGGTATACCTTTATCTTTACTGAGAGATTTTTTTCCTCTCATTCTGTAACGGTAAACGTAACGGTAACGGTGTGAAAAGAACCGGAGACTCTTTTATTGGTAACGAGATTGTGTCGGAATTTTATCTTAGTTCTCAGTCATCGTAGTGGATGCTGTGACCCATAGACATTAGACGTCTACACCTGTACTTAGTTAAAAATTGAATTGCAGATGCGTTGTCACCCTTGAGGACTCAGATGGAATGCCTCGTTTCCAGTTAATAGTCTCCAGTTCTCTACCCTAACAATACGCAACACAGCAGCATTGAGCTGCTGTTTAACACTGGTATTAAAAGGCGTGGTAGAACCACGCTCCCACAGAATCTCCTCGGTCGAGCCGACCCATTCCTGCTACAATCATAATATGGCTACAGCATGGCTCCACCGTGTATAGAATTTAATTGATCTTTTGTAAGTACCTGGTCTTAGACTGGTACCTAAGTCTGGGACATACTAAACACGACGAGTTTTAACTTAGTGGAGTTTAATTTCAAACTCAAATCCACATACACTAGGTATTTGGTATCAATATTTTCGATTTAACCTTATAGCATATCTATTTTTGGTCTGAGATCTCCACTTAATCAAATATACAAGCACTCGTTTACTCTCTGGGAGTTTGTCTGGACCTCTGGATAATAAGTAGATGCCAGCACTGCTGTATTCCAGTCTAAAGAGTATAATTATCATCATTACAGCCCTTCATGGGTCCTCTGCTGAATATAGGCTTCCCCGAAGGAATGCCACAAAGCACAATCATAAGGTAGCTGCATCCGTTGAGTTCCTGCATGTCTTACCAGATCGTCACTTCATCATCGTCATCATCAAGGGTATAGAAAGCCAGTATGACTACAGGCTGTGAGGCAGTCTATCTTAGGCAAATGAACTTGCAGTAACATTTCGACTTCAATAACAAACATATTTTTACCTGTGCAGTGATCTGCAAGCGTTTATGTATTTAATAGCCGGTCTCATACATGATATGGATCATCGTGGAACCACCAACAAATTCCAAATACAAGGACGTAAGTATTTTTTTTAACAGATATAAACTTTTTATTCAATATACATTATAATTAATACTTATTAAAAGTTACTCATTTGTTTAATTTACTCGTACCACTGGTTTGGATAAAAACCCAGCGGGATTTTTTATAAATAACAGCTTACAATCATACATATTACAAAATTAATAACACAAAACAAAATAGAAATTGCTTGGTAATGATCACCTTCATTACCATTAGGTATTATAATGACCAAATATTATATCTAATAACTAAAACAAAGTTTGTATCAAATCAAATCAAATCATTTATTTCGCTAAAACATGGGTACTGACTACAGACGGATAGATACAGAGTCAATATTTGTTTCCACATGTTTTGCCTTTTGTGGCATGCGTAAAAATTGGTATTATATATGAGAAAAATTCCTAGTAAGGGTTCAACAAGTAATTGCCTACTAGCGGAGATAGAAAATCGGAAAGAATAGAATAGAATAAAATATTACGGGCTTGATACTTTTAAAGAGTTAAGTTGAAATAGAGGCGACAGAGAGAAACGGAATGAGCAGTAGCGTCATCCTATTTAACAACTATAAATAAAACTTCTGTTGCCAATACGCCTGCCAAGCGCGGCAAATATGGCAAAAGACCCTCATATGAAGCAGTCTTGGGGAGGTCAGGTTCAGCAGAGGACTTTTGGACGCGAACAGAGATCATACGGATTGAGGTCGTTTGTTATTAGGGTTGCCACCCGTACTGTAATATGTAGTATCGTACTATATTTATGTCAATTGAACTATATATTAGAAAAGAATAATGTAGTAATAAAAATACTATATTTGTATCCCTAATTCAACTGTCGCCTTTTTTATATTAACTGTAAGTAAAAGTCTGAAAGTTTACGAAAAAAATTTTCCGTCATGAATGTAAAATTTAAAGAAGAAAGAAATAGAACATTTATTAATTATTATTAAAAATTTATTGTTAATTTATTTTAATATGAATCTAAATGACTTAAACTTCTATAGTTATTTCAAAGGATCATTGACGGCCAAAGCAAAGAGTAATTACAAATTACAATTAAAAACAAATATACCTAATATGGAAAATTACATAAAGATAAAAAATAAATGTGTACTTTTTCTCCTGAATTTCTCAAAAGTACTATATTTTTGCATCTTTTTTGGAAAAAGTACTATATTTGTTCAAAAAAAGGTGTTAACCCCATTTTTTGAATAGATACAAGTCTGGCGGCTCTGTACAGCAGCGAGGGCAGCGTGATGGAGCGACACCACCTGGCGCAGGCCATGTGCGTGCTCAACGCGCAGGGCTGCGACCTGCTGGCCGGCCTGCCGCGAGTGGAATACGACCGCGCCATCTTGTTGCTACGCGACTATGTCCTCGCGACTGACTTGTCCAACTATTTCAAGTTAATATTTCATCAATCCTATTTTGATTAAATATGAGCTTAATACTGCTGTGTTTCGAACGAAATGAGGGATTTTATTTTAGTCCTCGGAAGTGATAGCACATCTGCATTTCGATTCTTAATCGAAGATATGTAGATGTCTATGGGCCACAGCATCTACTTACCATCAGATGGACTGTGTGCTCATTTATCACCAAAATTGGAAACTAAAGAACAAACTTCTTGTTACTTTGAATCGGCATGAAATGTTTATGAATGTGAAATTGTAGGGAAACTTGGGGGAATTAGACTTTGTCCTTGCCTTAAATCTCACAGCTTACGTGCTACCGCCATCGCAACCCGTGTGCGATGTAGTTGTTCAATGCAATTTAAATGATGTTTTACTTTACGTATGTGATGGTGAAGGAAAAGAAACTTAAGCAACGTGAAGTAACCTATGTGTGTGTGTGTGTGTGTGTGTGTTGAATAAAATATTTCGAATAATTGCTCTATAACCGCGGCCTGGGCCCAGCACAAGGAAGTATACACGTAACTTTGACTTACTTTTTTATTATTTCATCCATCCCACTTCTACAGACGATTTGTCAACCTCATCAGTCTTTTTAGTTACTAGTTGTTATTAGTTTAGTTTCCACGGACTTTCATGTAAAAAAGTGCTGGAAGGTATTCACGGCACGGTACTTGAAATGATGTCATCCGAAGAGCTCTTGTCAATCTTGTCTTGGAATATTTAGGCACGATGTCAAGAGACCCGACGGTATGACATTGGTCTCTTGGAAAAGAGGTAAAGCCCTAGTGTGGGATGCTACCCGCGTAGACACGTTGGCAGCCTCTTATCTCAGGGGTACCTCGTTTAGAGTCGGTGCGGCATCAGAGGCAGGAAGAAAGTAGCGCAAACATAAGTCTCCGAGAGATGACTACATATCTGTGTCATTTACTGTAGAGACTATAGCTTCGTGGGGTCTACGTGCGATGTAGTTCCTAAAAGAACTCTATCCGCGACTGGTAGTCGCTGCTGGTGATAAAAGGGCTGGTACTTTTCTCGCTCGAAAGCTTAGAATAGCCATTCAGCGAGGAAACGCAGCCAGCGTTCTTGGCTTGTTTTTTTATATAAGAGAAATAAAATATTATCATACTTTATAAAGCTCTTGGTATCTGAAAGTAGGCCTTTTTATAAATATTACATTAATATTATTACAAAAAGAGATAACAAAATAAATAAAGCCACTTCGTACTGACATCGGATCTGCTTAAGATATTTAAGGGATCACGGTGAAAACATAGGAGAGTTTGAGGGAATTGGAGTACCCCTATCATAAAGGAATTGGACGAAATAAGAGGTTAGTGCCCAGATGTGGGACACTTAAAAGCTATTCCAGCATTCATTCATTTATTAAAAAGTATCAAAACTCCACTGCTTAACATCGGCCTCCCTCGTAGGGGGGATTTTTGCTATAGTTGCCACGCTTTGTTGGTTAATCGCTGCTTATAATTATTTTGAGCTGTTTTCAGAAAAATCCAGTTTACCTCTATCGCATCAATTTAGTTACTGAGACGTAGTGTTTGGACCGTGTCTAGACTCATAGAGCGTGTACAAAATGCATGTGCGAGGTTCTGCTTCCACATACTACCTCGTACGTATGTTACTCCTTTTCTCAATAATGCAGGCCTGTTAAAAATGTCGCGTCAAAAGATAGATGTTGCTACCCCTTTATTTGGAATAATTTCATTAAAAACACCTCGTTACATATATGACAAATTAGTGTGGGTTAGCGAACAGTCAAAATATCCGAAACATGTTCTAACGTCTTTGTTATTCCAAAACATAGAACAATGGCATTTAGAGGGTCTTTCAGGTATGCAGCTTCTCGCTGCTGGAACGATCTGCCGCCACCAATGCGATCTTTAAGAACTGTAGGAACATTAATTAAAAAAAACTGTCAGTAACTTTAAAGCAAGACCAAAATCCCTCGTAATTTTTGAATTTACTTTTTTCTCTCTTTACTTTTTTTTTGTTTTACGTGCATAATATAAAAATTCCTCCAATTAATGCTGAAAAGATTGCTAGGTAAGACTCCATGTGTTTATTTTTTTATGTTCTCACTAATTTTTCAGTTCACTCACTGTTTCGTTTCTTTTTGTTTATGGTGGTTAATCTCTTTTTTTAGCAATTACTTAAAAGCTAGCTGAGTTTTCTATGACAAAGAACCTTCAGAGTAAGGATTAGCGACACATTGTCAGATGAAAAAAAAATACAAAGCGGTGTGCTACAAGGTTCTGTACTGGCACCGGTATTGTTTATACTGTTTACCTTTGATCTCCCAAAAAGCTTGAGTTGTAATTTAAGTATGTTCGCTGATGACACGAAGATATTCGCAAACCCACAAGTGGACTTTTATCGCCTTCAAGCAGATCTAATTAAAATATCAGATTGGTCAAAAAGATGGCTTATTAAATTAAATATAAATAAAAGCACAGTCCTCCATATAGGAAACCGACTCTCGTTTCATATATAAAATCGATGATATACCTTTGAAAGAAGTTGAAGTACAAAAAGACTTAGGTGTGCATATACGTAACGATTCAAAACGGAATCATCATATAACAGTTATAACTAAAAAGCAAATAGTTTTATTTACCTGATTAGAAAAGCCTTCGGGCATCTTACACTAAAAATAAATAAAGCATACATTCGACCTATTTTGGAGTATGCATTCCAAATCTGTAGCCCCTATTTCAAAAAGGATATTGAGTTACTGGAGAAAGTTCAACATAGATTTTCAAAGGTCCCTAGAGTATTGAAAAACAAACTATATGAATAAATGTTGAATAAGCTTAAACTAACGACACTGAAGGATCGCAGAGAATGGGGACTTGATCGAAGCATATAAAATTATACATGGACACTACGATCTGGAAAATTTTGAATTCCAGTACTCAAAAAACACACATCTTAGGGGACATCACTTCAAATTAACCAAAACCGTGTCACATAACAACCCACACAAGCACTTTTTTAGCCAAAGAGTGGTTGAAGCATGGAATAAACTGCCATCAGAAGTAATATCTGTACAAACTATTAAATAATAAAAAACAAACTATTAACCAATTCAAGAACAGATTAGATAAACATCTAAAATAAGAATAATTACATATTTTAATATAGGATACGGGCTTACATCAGTTGTTTCAATTGCTAGCCTGTTAAGTAATAATAATAATAATAAAATTCAAATTTTTATTTTATTAAGATTAGATAATATACTTCATGATGTTGAGCTGTTGAGTACTTTGTAATGTATATGTACAAGTAAATGTGTATGTATATCTTTTTTCTTTTTTTTTAAATCGTATGTATCGATGGATAGATATATATGTGATATGTAAAGTGTACAGTTCACTCATACAATGTGTTATTATTTCCAAGTAATACCTCTCATTATGCTGATTCCTTCCCCACTCACTTTTCTGAATGTTCTGTTTTTTATTATCTCGAGCTTTTTTCTTCATTGTAATTGCAAATAAGTAGAGTTGGGCCGATTAGCCGCCGATCGGCTGAAAGGCGGCTAATCGGTGAAGCCGTTTAATTGGCCTATTTGTAGTCACCGATTAGTCGGCGATTAATCGGCTAAAACCACCGATTAATCGGTTTTTATTTTTTAAATTTCAGCAAAGGTTTTTCGTGATTTTCTGCGTGGCAAGTGCGGCTACATTAATATGAGTAAAGTTTTAAATTTAAGAAAATAATAGTTTCTCTCCCATGTGTAAAATCACGTCAGATTTATATGTAGGTAAATCAAATAAATAATAAAATAAGTAGGTTCATACATAACTTTTATTGAAAAATCGGTCTCACATGTTTTAATGTTAATTATTCTGCACATAGGACTTTCGTAAAAAAAAAAATCTGAGGTAAAACCTTGATACTTACTATTTTAATTCTACTTTTTAACTTTTTCTAATCGTAATGCAGAGTAGTAACACAACAAAATAAAATATTAATAATGATATTCTTAATAAACTTTAAAGAAACAAATTTTAAGCCTCTGCCTTTGCATACCAAAAAGAAACAATTCTTGAATAAAAATTGTTTAACTACACGCATGTAGATTTTTAAAAGACAAATCGTTATTTTTCCGTACGTAAAATTACAATAAATTGTTTTTTTCCTGTAATGTTATTAAATAATGAACCTCCAATCATCTTCATCATCAACGAATGAGACCGACATTTCCCGAACGCCACCAAAACAGGGATCGTCTGGGCCGATTAATCATCAATTGGCCAAAGTACTAATCGGCCCAACTCAACAAATAAGGTTTTTCATTCATTCTTTCTTTCATCATGGGTACATAATTTTATAATCTTTTTCTATGACTACAGCTTCTTTAAACAAGGTAGGTATATAAAATTTCCATGAATTTTGTTTTAAGCAATCTTGGCGAGTACGAATTGATATCGCGGGACTATCAAAAAGGCAACCGATTACACAGGCATGTTCTGCAGGCTTTGCTGATGAATGCAGCGGACCTTAGCGACCAGCTCAAGGACTGGAACACCATTAAAAGGACTGCTGTGAGTATAGGCTCATTCCCATAATATGTATATTTAAGTATAATATATATATATTATTTATAATGTATATTAAATTTAATTAAACTTTAATACACGAAAATAGTACATAATAAGTAAACTTAACCAGTGAAACATTAAGCTACGCAGAGATAAACATATATGTATGTGTCTGGGCAATAAGGTCCAATATAGATATCCTATTGACATAATGTTTAAAGACTTAAATAAAATCAGTCAGCTAGCCCAGAAACAATGGGTTTGCTCGACCGGGGAAGCACTATCTTCACATACCACTGTAAAATAGCAGCGTACGGCCGATTGCTGTGTAACTGTGTAAAGTAACTGGGCGTTAAATCTCAAGTCTCAGGGATGATCCGTTGAAGAATAATGTACGTACTACGTTATACATACTACTTCAATGGGTTCAATTTCGAGTTTGATTCTTATCAAACTTTTTCGATTTTAGTTTAGTTTGTTCGATTTTATCGAGGCTATATATACATTAAGTAATAATAAATATTAAAAGTGTAAGTACGGTCATGCAGTAGGTAGCTAACGGTATTTATAATATTTTTACAATTTATTGTTTTATAACCAGGCCGCAGTCTTGACAGAGTTTTTCAAGCAGGGCGACTTGGAAAAAGTCCGCGGAGAAACGTCCCTTAGCATCATGGACCGCGAGAAGTGTTTCATCCCCACACTAGAGAAAGAGTTCCTCGTGAGCTGCTGTGTGCCTCTGTTTGAGTAAGTACAAATTCATTCAAGTGACTTAGGGACCTTCAAAAAAAGAGTCTACTCCTTTTTAAATGCACCTGCGAATCGCCTGTTGTTGCATTTGTTTATGGAGGACGGCAGTCACCATCAGGCGAGCCGCATGATCGTTTACATTCTCTTCTATAAAAAAGTGAATAAGTTATAATGAACATCGCTCCCCAAGGAGAAAAATTTTTTTTTTCTTAAAAAAACGTTAACACTAATATTTTTTTCCAAGGTAATGCTATTCTGAAAAAGTTATAAATATAATAATTATTATATGTATATTATTTAGTTAGTACAATTATCATTAATAGAAAGCTCTCACGAAAAGGGTGCACAGAATTTTGCAAGGCTAGGCCAGGTATGTTTTAAGCAATAGTACCTATTCCATAACTTTAAAGCGCGTGACATACGTGCAAACTTGAGTAGGTTGATGTAGGCGTATAAGGTACCCTAAAGTGGGACATGGGTCATATGGGTAACACTTAGTCATCGCCTCATAAAAGATATACATAAACTCATACAGTTCATCTGAAGGCAAGTGGGTATTTTCGGCATTTGGACATCTGACACAATATTTGAATAAAAATTAGGGGGTGGCTGTGTCGTGAACTCAGCCGTGTATTTTACGTGTACACGTGAACGTAACGAAAGCGACCTCAAGATGGCGGTGCTCCCACTCCGCCGCTCGCGTTGCGTCACAATCCTTACTCAATGTAACGAATTTCTTTGATCCTTTAGCTATCGAATGGTGTAATTCAATTTTGGATACAGACGATATATATGTAGCACCAAACTGTATCCCCCGATTTTGTCATCATCGGTTTTTTGAATTGCCTCCCACTATGGAAGCAAATTTAAAGACATATTCACGTAAAAAAGGACAGACGCATCAAAAAGGACAGACGCGCCTTGGAGACTAAGATCACAGAGCAACAAATCGCAGCGCGGCGATGCAGATGGAATATCATATACTGGAATGACCTTTTTTACCGTCAGAAAAAAAATTGTGTGTAACATGTGAACGGAGTAGAAGCCTATGGCACTGATATTTTTCAAAAAAATATATATTTATTTAAATGAATAAATTAATTAAAATCTATCGAAATTCAAATCCTATCCGCCCTACTTTACGAACGGCAGTAAAACAATAAATTCTTTTACTGCCGTTCGTAAAGTAGGGCGGAATAAGTCACAGACTCAACACACATATATATATATATATATATATACTCTCTTACACTTCAAATCAGCATGCAGCAGTGGGTGCTACTTGGTAAAAAAAAGAACCTATTCACCCCAACAACTCCTTTTGTATTTTTTGTATTGTTATATTCAAAATCATTGTAACCATTACAGCGCTTCACAAGTCCACTGCTGAAAATAGACCTCCCACAAGATATGCTATAAAACACGATCCTAAGCCATTTGCATTCATCGACTTCCTGCTATCTTATCAGATCCTTACTCCATTTAGTGGGAGAAGCATATAATAATATTGGCATTATCTTATTCACAGAATTATGGTTAGTAATATCATAATTTTGATTTTCGCAGGATGCTTGCTAGAATCATTCCAAAAGCTCAGCCATGTTTAAAAGTAATTGAAGCCCACATAGAGAAATGGGATGCGGCGTCTTATGTATTTGCAGAGGTACTAACTCTGATTATATTAACTAATAATTATTCTTTATATAGTAATATACCACACCTGGACTTGGACCTCTTACATAATAGGAAAGATTTGACGTTATCATACTTAGTTCAGCTGCCTTAAAAAAAGCTTTATACCTACGTACGTGTGCGTAAGCAAGATATTTATACAGATACATAACAATATCGCCTTCCGACACACAGGGGACATGTACAGAGTACTTTATTATACACGAGAAGATACATGGAAATCACCTAATTAGTTCTATTCCTACCTGTAAAAAATTTATTTAAATTTTAAAGGTATCGTTTGAAAACATTAGAAATTTGCTCTGCAGGAGAAAGAACATACTTTCATAGTAAAAAAAGCGTGAATTAACAGGTGGGTCTCTGTGACTGACGAGAAAAGGAAACCTTGCAACGTAGGCATTCTCTCCGTGGTGACCGCGTCTTTAATTCTTGATTGAAGTTTGACTTGGACATCAGTGTCTATGAGGTTGAATTATGTCATCTTGAGGATATCGGGGTCGTCGCAAAAACTTATTCATCTCTGGCCATGGGGTTCATAGGCATTTTCCTTTACCTTTGGTAGGTGTCTTTGGGCCCACTAACTTATATAAATGGTGCACTATACGAGTATATCCAAACGTTATACTCACACTAGATTTTTCTTCTGTAAATTTATTGTGTTTTACATACATAAATATCACATAAAATATTAAGGCCTGAAACAATTATTTGTAAGCTATAGTAAAATTAGTTTCATGTAAGATGCAAGTCTGCACAGGACAAGATCTCTATTTCGTCACTCTTATAGTCCGATGCGAAGGCAATCCAACATGTCGGGAGAAATCTGACGCTGGACCGGCTTTACATGCTTTCCTATTCACGGGTGTGAAAACCGCCAACTTCCCTGTTATTGAGAATTTATTAAAGAAAAAACACAATAACTGATTATTGATCCCATACGCGATCACATGATCATCCGTTACCTACGACCACTATACCAACGAGGCAGTAACGCACTTAAGCACACTTTCATCAACGACCCATAAGATTTATGGGACCCCTTAGTGTATTTAGGGGCCAGTTAGGGGATAGTTTCCGTTTCACCACTTTTAAAGGGTCGGTTACTGACTAAACGATCCCCTAAATTCTTCTAACTCTTCATAACGTAATCGAGCAAGACGGCTCTGTCTCTCTTGCGTTATAATTTCCCTCATTGCCTTACTAACGAATTTATGGACTTTTGTTTGAAATAAAGTTTTATTTATTATTTATAATGCAGAGATAATTGTGTTAACTTTTTAAGTGAATTAAAAGTGTAGTTATTTTCAGGTACCAGTATCAGCCGGGCTATCAGTTCTTCTAAGCCCAGAGCTAGATAACCTAATAGAACAAAGCATGAAAGAAAGAGAACGTAAACGTTTGACTGAACGGACGGAGACCGAAGACGAGGCGAAAGAAACTTAGCGTTATTTTTTTAAATATTTATTTGTGTGAATAAAAGTACATACGATTTAATTATTTCGTTTTATTCACATATTCTTACTAAGATAGAGATAATTCTTTATTGCATCCAGCAAAACACAAAATAAAAAGAGAAAAATAAAATAAAAATACAAAATGTTAAAAGGTAGTGCAATAAGCGCTCTTATCGTTAAAAGCGGTTTCTTACGGACAACCTTTGGGTGGACTGGGTTCTAAAATGACAGTAAGGAGGTATTGGTGATATGTAGGCGATAGAGCCATGCTGTAGCTATCTTATGGTTGTAGCACGAATGGGTCGGCCACTAGGGAGGTAGCCACTAGGGGTAGGGCGGATAGCAAGCACAGTGGATGCAGGATAGGCGCGGGGGGGCAAAGAGAGGGACCACAGGGGATAGGGTCAGCCACTAGGGGTGGGTCAGCCACTAGGGGGTAGGGTCAGCCACTATGGGGTAGGGGGTCGGTCACTAGGTTGTAGGAAATCAGCCAATAGGTGGTTGACCACTAGGTGGCAGGGGGTGGCTCGACCGGGGCAGGACCACGCTCTCACAGAATACAAGCGTAAAATAACAGCTTAATGCTACTGGGTTTCGTACGGTGAGTGTAGAAAACATGAACCTTTTTACTGGATATGAGGCATTTCATTTTAGTCCTCAAGGGTGACAATGCATCTGTATTTTGATTCTTAATCGAGGATAGATGTAGATCTCTATAGGCCACAGCATCCTCTTACCATCAGATGGGAAGCGTGCTCGCTTGTCCCCCTTATTCTATAAAAATGATATATTTACTTCGCGCTATTATCTTCTTCTCTCTTTTGCACTGTTTTGTTCTATTCTTTGCTCTATGTTTTTATCTTTCACCGCTTTCATATTTATGTATATCTTGTCATCCCTAGTTAATTTCTAGTATAATCAGTGCGGATAAAGAATGGGATTAGAAATGGCGTTATATTGTTCGGTTAATTGGAAATTTTCTATTGATGGGAAAATATTTGCATATACCCAATTTATTTTAATTTTAATGTAACATTTATAATTAGCAACCTGCTCTGGCTCTCACATGGGTAGGATCTATTAATATGGCGTTATTTAGACTTAAGATAATCATTAAAGTTCATTTATTTTTACGGGAAGTTTTGTTGTAATCAGACGTGAGTAACCATTTTAAAAACTAAATTTTTTAAAATGGTTACTCACGTCTTAATAACATGTAAATATTTTATACAAAAATATTAACAAAAACAATCAACAACAATTACGAAGAAAACTCTCAGAACGCGTCGTAGCTCACAAATTAGCGAAACCAGACCATTGATATACACTGAAAGATACACACTCAGCTCAGCGTCTCAAGAACGTCCCCATAAAATGAGTCAGCTCATTTCAAATAGTATAGCGTCGCTTATATACTTATTATACTCTTTGATCCCACGCACGATAAAAATGAGGAACTCTTGCTTAAAAATTGTAAAAATATTACGTCAAGAACATTTTTTGCAGTCTACCGGCGGTTGAGTGCGATCGAGGTCAGTAGAGGCGACGCCATTTTCAATCCCGTTCTTTTCTTTAACCGCACGGGTACGTAATTAGATCTAACAAAAAGTTAAACTTTTAACATTTATCAAATTCAGTACTAAAAAGGGGGTTAAACTCCGGTCCCACTGTTACAATAACAAAACAAAAAACAGCAATATAATATTTTTTTTAATAAAACAAAACATAAGAAAATGTTTTACTTGCACTAATTGCAATTATCACATACAGGTGCATAACTCACTAGTCATTATCACTATTATACGGGGTAGTCACAGTAGACATTATATCGTTTGTTTTAGCGTTATTTTTATAGCTAATTTTATTTATGAAATGCATTTAACTACAATTAAAAAAACAACAATTTAAAAGCAATAGAAATCTCATAGACAAACTATAAAATTTGTTTTAAACCCGTCAATCAATAAAATCAGTAAATTTTTTATTTAAAGTAATCTTATCTCAATCTCATTATGGAATAAGTTTCAATGCTTTGGTCTCGTGAAATTAAGTAACCTCAAATTTAAACATACTCTTTTATTCTACAGATAATAAGAAAGTATAGAATAAAAATGTCAAAAATGTCTGTTTTATATTCATGATTGCAATATAATATAATAAAAATTAGTATACAGAAGTATTGAGTTGTAAATTCACGAACGATATGTAGTGTTAAACGCTACTATCATCAAGTTAAAGTTGTAAGTAAAATATTTTATACTGTACAATATAGAATATTTTACTTTTAATTATATAAAACATTTTGATACAACCCTAAATGATTTATGAAATTTTCATATCATTAGAAGCGTTTCTTACGGTAAAAAATTTACTAATTTAACTATTAAATTATATTTTCATATTTAACTAAGTACATAAGCAAGTTACTTAAATTTTCATATTTAACTATAAGTAGTTAAGAGAGCAAGTTTTGATTGTGAATAAAACATTTTATATACTACGTGATTGTGTGAACCATTGAGATATTTTGTAATAAACAACGTGTATTGATATTGTATATCGAAAGAAGTTTTTTTAAAAATTAAATAAACACTTACTAAGTTAAATATTTCTAAGGAACATTGATTTATCTACTTAAATAATCGCATAAATGTGACTTATAGCCGTTAAAGCAATAGTTATGTAATTTTTTAAGTAAATGGAGTCAACCAATAAGACCATTTTCTTTTGGCTGCAGTAGCTCTCCAATAAACTCCTGGACCATTATTTCAAGTTTCTTCCTCATTTCTTCTTGCTCCCTGCAAAAGTATTTAATATTTAAAAAAAATATTTTTTGATATGAAGGAGTATATAAGCAAACAAAAGTAGGTATGCAAGAAAAATAATAAACTGTTCAATAAACCATTCACGAAGTGAAGTTCGTACGGACCGTTTCACGGATTTCTGTTGTATGCAAAAAGTTCAGTCGTGAATTAGTTGGTCGTAGAGCTGTCTGTACGACAACTGGTAGAGAATGCCTCAAGGCATTAAGTCCGCCCTTTGTATTCTTTTGTCTAAGGATGCAATAAAGAATAAAATAAATAAATAAATGGATGCTGTAGCCCATAGACATCTACATCTATCATCGATTAGGAATTAAAATTCAGTTGTGTTGTCACTCCTGAGGACTAAGTTGAAATGTCATTTTTCTTACACTTATACTCAGTTATCGGCGACATAAAGCTGGTGGAAACTAAGCATTACAGCTTGGCTCACCGCTGCCGAGTTGTGGTCTTCAACAGATTGTACTTCGAAGGGTGTGCGTATGAGCTTCATAAGCTCATTACGCCATCTCCACTCTACTACCAGACGTACTGTAGGTTACCATCCACACTTGTTTGACATTCTAACTAAGCGCTATAAGTCATCTTTTATAATGCGCACAGGCAAGGACTAAAATGTTCCGCCAGCGTTTGTTTTTCAGAGTGCGGTTATGGTTATATAACCTCTTCAAGGTGCTGCTCTGCAAGGTTTCTCACGGGCAAACTCACTACATCGTAGACCTTATATTTGTCTTTGGGCTAGATGGAGGTCAAAAATGAGCCCATTTCTAATTAAAAAAAAACTGACCGTTCTGTGGGAGCGTCGCAGACTAGCTCGGTGTAGTATTTGAGCTTGGGCTCGGTGCCGCTGGTCCTCACGGTGACGCTCATGCCGTTGTCGCAGCGGAAGGCGATCATCTCGCCGCTCCTGTACTCCTGGTCCAGGCCGGTGCCAATTACAGCTGTATATCACAACAACCATTTTATTATACAGGTGTCCCAGAACGTAACGATCAAAAGAAAAGGGGTTGTAAACCATGGAAGAATACATAAATACATAAACACTCACACCTGTCATCAGAGGTAGACAGAGACTACAGACTTCCATTTAGCACGATCCTGACATACCTTTCTCGCCTCTTCCATATCCATATATCTACGCATACATGCTCGTCGGTTAAGGGTACTCTTAATTTGGCCCATTTTTAATGTATCGCCAATTTGGTCAACAAACTTTCGCCTAGGACGTTCCTTTCCGACTCTTCCATTCACTTCTGCAACATATATTTGCTTTGTCAGTCTTTCCTCATTCATTCTTTCTACATGACCAAACCACCGAAGCATTCCTTTCTTAATCCTGGTCACCGCATCATCTTGCAAACCACACTCTTCCTTTATCACACAGTTTCATGGAAGAACTGTTCAAAAAAATTAAGTTCTATACCAAAAATGCGTGGTTTAAAGGATAAAGGGTGATTTATAAATTTCACCCTTTGCGTCAATATTTTTGATGTTACTACAGCTACAAATTAGGACCGATTTTGATATTTTTTCTGTTTTTTATAGCCTAATAATATACCTACTATTTTATTTTTCAGTACCTATTACCGTTTGGTAGAAATAAATACATAAAAATTTGCAAAAGTGTAAAAATGTAACATTAAAGTTGGTAACTGTATTCAAAAGCTGGCGCAATTCATGTAGATTTCAAAATGGTTTAATACTTGGTACTTTTATTTCATATTTTGAACTATAATTTTTTTTCTCGCAGAGGGTAGACTTTGTGCAAATTACCCAATTAGATATATTTTTTTAATTATTCGTCCGTTCTGGGAACGCCTGTATATATATATATATATATATATATATATATATATATATATATATATATATATATATATATATATATATATATATTAAAGCGTGTAACAATAGCTTTAGGGTTAAGCGTTGCCAAATTAATTTTCAACCAAAATTAAATTTTTTTTAGAATCAAAAGTAAACAAGCAGGATTGGATTGATAAAATCAGACAACATAAAAGTATGCATTGCCACGCATTTTAATTGAAAAGGACATAATGTTTTAGATTTTTAAAATTAATTATTGTTCACCATTTGCCTTTATAACTTATTCTGATCCGCCTCAACAAATTTAGCCGGTTACTGCAAAATAACCCTGTACAGTCTA